TCCCAGCTGCAGCCTCTCAACCCCAACTCGGCCCATGCCGAAACACCCTTCCCGTTCCCCGGGGTCAACCGCCCAGCAGAGAGCAATTTACCTGTCCCAGCCGCCCCTAAGAGCGGCTTTATGGCTGCAAAGCTGCTCCTCCCTTCCTCCAGCCACTTCTGCCCGACTCCCGCCTCCCTGAGCATCCCCTACTGGGCTGGGGACCCCCTTGGCCTTCCTTCCCAGGCACCTCTCGGTGCCCGAGCCCACCTGCGCTCCCGAGCGGGGCTGGAGCGGTGGCGGGATCGGGGCGGGGGATGTGGGAGCCGAGGCCGCGGCATCGCGTGCGAAGCGGCGGTGCCGCTCTGAGTCAGTGCTCGCCCTGCGGCGGGAACTGCGGGCGGGGAGCGAAAGGGAGAACGGCGCTGACTGATCTCTGCCGCCCGCCGGGGCCGACCTGGCACGCAAGGCTTGCATTCCCCGCCGGCCTCGCCAAGCCCCCGAGGCGCTGCTCCTGCCCCGCTGGCAGTGGCCGGTGACCCCCTCCCTCCTCTGGAGGGAGCGCTGACCCTCAGCCACCTGCCGCGTCCGTGTGCTGCCTCTTCTCGTTATTGGCTCCACGCACAGGCACCCCGTTGGTGATTTTGGTGTTTACTTTTAAGTAATCTGGAAAAGCCTCTTTGGCAAAAGTCCGTGGAAAGCGCAGAGCCATCTGACAGACGGCCGTGTCAGCTCTGCGCCTCAGGGAACATACACCATCCTAGTCCGCTCCCTCACCTCGCTGTGCCTGCCCGCGCAGCCCTCACCAGAGGGCAAACAATACAGTACCTAGAGATGGAAATGTCCGTGTGTGTAGGTGTGACTACCAGCCATTAGTTTCAGACACTTTACGTGACTTTTTTTTCCAGTCCTCGCCTTCTCTCCTTGGAAGGAGAGAACGCCCCGTGCAGGGATTTCCCCTGCTGAAGGACTTGGGCTGTTTGTCGACAAAAGCAGCCGCTACTGCTCACAGCAGTGCAGAGCCCGAGGCGTGCGTTCCTTAGCATTAGTTAGGGATTTTAACAAGTTAAAGTAAGAGGTGAGGGGAACTAGAAAATGTAAAAGCCATCGACACTCTGAGCTACTGAAAATGGTGTAAAGTATTTACCATAATAAATATTTTCAAAGAAAGGACATTTTTGCAGAAAATTGCAGGTTATTCACCCATCTCGGAAACAACAGAAACCTGATATTTCTCAAGATTTTTTTTCAATGGACTCAGTTGAACCTGTTACACCACAAGCTTTTCCAAAGCTGCAAAGTGAATGATGATTACTCACAAAGAAATTTCCTGTGACATGAATCTCACTGAAATGAATGCTTCACTTACAAAGCCTCTCCAAGAATCTTGAAGCACTCAGTGAACTCTAACAGACATCACCTGGGAAGTGATTTCTATACATATTTTAGAAAGAAATTACAGATTAAGCTGTTTAGTCCGACTAAAAACTGAGAGTTGATAGGAAATATTTAAACTTTGAGAGTAAAATATATGCCCCTCTCATTACATGTCCTATGAATTTGTCCCAGGATCCTTTCGGGGATAAAAAGCTTTTTTATTTTCCTACCTGGTCCCTGCCTGAATGCTGTCCTGGCTGCTAGTTTCTGCCTTTAAGGAACACACCAAAGGGTGATTCCAATAACGTCAGAAGTGGCGGTGGGAGATTTTCTGTTTTCTACTTTGCTCTTTGTAGATTGCCCTACTTTGTAGATTGTGCAGCAGATTAACCACCTGCAAGCTTTTCTTTTTACTTCTTTTCAAGCATAAAAATGCATAGATAACTAACTACATGATCAGAAGAGATTGAGTACAAACGAATGCAGAGATCTATGGGCTGATTCAGTTTTGACCATATTCTAAAATCAAACAGCTAATGAGCATGTGGCTGGCTTGAATTTTCTGGACGTTGCATTGCAGAAAAGCAAAAAGATACAATTAAGTGCATTTAACAAAGTATCAAAACTTTGTTAAGTTTTAGCAAGGAATTCATACCAGGTACTGCTCTGCTCCAGCTGTGCAATGGTGCAATATAGAAATGCCTCTGGCTTGCATTGGTGAAGTCACACAACAGGCTCAAAATGCAATTTGAGACTCCTGTGCTTTCCAGACTTTTTCCTACTCTTTTTGGCAGTGCATACAGATAGATTGAAAAGGCTGCAACAAGGATTTCCAGGACACCAAACTCTTGAGGGCACATTCAGGCTCTGTCATGACTTTCAGTCTTTCAGAAAGGAATACTTTTGAAATACCGGAAGAACAAGCTCAATTCTGAGAAAACTCAGAAAGCTGTATTTCTTCCCTGGGGCAAGAAGGAATTTAAGCTGCAGGACTTCTCCTACAAGGGTTATATTTGGGGAAAAAAAGAAAGACTGAGCAGACATATGCAAACCAAGCAGGTAGGAAATCATCTTAGTAGCAAAAAAGCTAAATGTCCTGGGTTTTTCACATGGTAAATGTTCTTATCTGCCCAAACTTCCGCTTTTCTGAATCTCCCTCTAAATACTGGTGCATTTACATAATACATATGCATGTGCACATTCATTCGTGGCCAGGGAAGCACAGACTGTCTAAGCAAAACAGGCAGCAATAAAGAAACCTGCAAAAGAGCTCTGCAGAAGTGGTAAAGCAACCGAAGATGGAAGAACTTGCTGTTGCATGGGGACACTGACTTCATTCTGATTGCACATAGTATCAAGGAGCAGCTGGGACAAAGGAAATGCAAAAGAAGGGCTTTTTATTCCAGACAGGTGGTTAAGTTCAAGATTATAACTGATCTCACTGACAGTTAAAGAAACAAAAAAAAATCAACAAAATAACGAACCCCACAACACTGGGGACTCATTTCTCCTGCATTACTGAGCCTACTAAACTGCTCCAACAGGACAACAGGCACAGCATGTTCAGTTTGTGCTGAAGCAAACTTCTCAGTAGCAAAGATTCTGGGAGATGAAATTCAGATTGGGGCAATAGGAAACTTTGGAGAATCAAGTACTGCTGGCAGTAAGTCTCTCTGATCATTGAGAAAGGAAGTGAATAGACAGATTTTCAACATCCAGCACTTCAGGCTGGAGAAAAAGCCTTGCTTAGGGCACTTATCTCCCACCCCTATTGCTACCCAAGTAATAGGAGTATTGAAGCTCAACAATGGCAAAGCCTGCTCTCCTGAGGTGGTCAAATACTTCTGTAAAATGTGGAGACCAGGTTAAAATAAAAGTCTGGAACTACGTATGTGATGTCAGGGCAGTTCTCCCACCAATGCTAATGGAGACTGGCAGAAAGATACCAGATGAAATATAGCCTTCATCTGTTAATTAGCCTTTCTGTTAATAAGCCTTTTGTCATCTATTTGAGTTAATTTCCATAGTCAAACCCATCAGGGGGGATAAAGGATAGCCTTGGGGAAATACATTCAGCTTTTAGCACAATTGCTGCTGATTCTTATACTTCCTTCAATTTCCTCTATTGCTTCTCCCTGTCACCCCCATTCTCTTCTTTTGTCTTCTTGCACACTTCCATGGGAAGGGCCAAACACTGACATCTCTCAATTACTCCTTGGGCTTCTCTGCTTTTCCAGCTTTCCCTATTCAATTGTTGATTACCTAATAATCTAGAAATACTGTCAGGGAGCATCAAGAGCTGGGATGTTCTAAGAGGGAGGATAATTCAGGAGCCAGCAGAGACCAAAGCACAGGTTGTGATGTCCTCAGCCGGGGCACAATCCCACTGTACCCAAGTGGAGGTGAGGTAGTAACTGTGACAGGGCCCTTCAGTCATACCAGGGAGTCTGCTCAGGACAGCGGGAGGCAGAGCTGGAGGCAAGGCTACGACTCAGATCCAAGGTCCATCCAAGAAGCACAACCAATGATGGAATGAGGCTACTACCTACAGTGTAGGTCCGACATCAATGCAAGAAAACCCACCAGTAAGCCAAGACAGCCAGGAGCAGCCATAGGTCTGGGTGCCCAGAGCCTGAGCTTAGATGGGGTTCCTGGGTCCATAGGCAGAGTGCATGGATGAGGGTCATTACTGCTGCTCTCAAGTCCTGACAAATACTTAAGGGTAATGCTGAAGCAGAATAAAGTTTGGGGCTTTAGACCCCTATGAGGGAAAAGTAAATGGAGATGTATCTAAAAAGACAGTAACATTGCCTTGCAGTCATTAGGCAAATCTCATTTTGCCAGTTGTAGCAATGCTCTCCCTCCAAACCAGTAGTTCTACCCATGTGCACCTGACTTCTAGCTCTCAGGCTAGCAGGGTTTTGTTTTAGCCTCTGCCACAGTCTCACACTGTGATTTCAGACAAATTGCCCACTTGTTTCTGCTTGCTTAATGAGAAACTAGATGAATGTCTTTGTCCAGCGTGGGCATCTGAAATGATGCAGTTATATAGGGCTGATGAGGACCTGCCAGGCCTTCACAGACAGTGCTGGGCATAGGTGCCCTTCTCATAAACTGGTCAAGATAGTGAGACATTTTCCCCTTGTTTCTCCTTTGGAAAAGCTTATTCAGTAATCTCACTGAATAAGCTGATAAAACACACTTCTAAAGTCCTGCTCAGGTTGATGGACAGTTCAGTTTACTAGCACTTGTTTTCCCAAATTATCTGAAATCTTAATACATTTGGTACAGGTGCACCTACTTGCTTCTTACCTAACCAAGGAGCACAATCATTAGGACTTAAATTTCATGGTCTTTCTTTATGTGAGATTACAGTTGTCATATTGTGGCTACCCTGAAAAATGCTCAGGTAGTGCCCCCTCTACCCAAGAAGAATCTGAGCTTAGTTAAAAGTGCCTGAACAGTCAGGGTTTGTTAGCATTGCCTGAAACAACTTCTTGTGGAAAACAGCTACATTCTTAGCAGAATGGAATGCCAAGGTGAGTGTGATTTTGTAATAGTCAATACAAATAAGAAACTTAAGGAAGTGTAACAACCAACACTATTTTATTAGAGGGGCAATGGCCAAGCCTTTCAGGAGGAATTAATTTTCAAGATTTGGCTACAGAAGAGCTCTACAATCTTATTGTCTTCCCCATGCCCAGCTGCGTGTTCTTTTTTTTTTCTGGGGGAGGCTTCAGCAGATGCCTTCCATCTTTTGGTCTTTGAAGGTGGGTTCCCTCTAGTGGCACTAAGAGGAGCATTGATTCTGTCTTATCGACTGATCTTAGCCCGTAGTAGGAGCAGGAGGAAAGAGGACACTGCGGGGTGTTAACAATTCACATCAGGAGACACTGACTTGTCTTCTTCTGGCTAATAGCCTCGGACTCTTCTCCACAGGTTCCTTACTTTTTCAATCAGCTCTTCAGCCATCATACTGAGTTTAGTTGTTTCTCTGATGAGGAAGTTCCTGCAGGTGATGACAGTGCATGTGATAAGATACACAAATACATGAGTGTAATCTCCATCTGCTGTGGATATCACGCTGCCTGTCACTGAGCGCAGAGCTCCTCAGCAGTCTTAGAGAGGCTTTCCTCAATAGGCAGCATGTGTGTGCCATGAGTTACATGAAACTCTGTCTCTAGGGTGATCATGATTTTCCTTTTGTGAGGAAACTCATTCCCCTTCCTTGAGGAATATGTATGCATAGCTAGAGCCAATTCTGTGATTTGCATCAAGTGACAATGGCACAGTCAGTACTGAGCCCCTCACAGACAGAAGCACCGAGAACCCTTCCAGGGGAGCTGATCCCCCACCAGCCAGAGGCCTCCTCCCTCACTATCCAAGAATAAAGAGCAGAACCTGCTGTCCCCACAAGCATGGTCGTGTACAATGTGCATCCCTGGGAAGAGCCTGTGCTTTCACAGGAGACCATATCACCTCACCCCACCTCCCAGCACCTCACTCCCATGGTAGTCACATCAGGCTTTGGTTGCTGATTCATTTCCCATTGGGTCTCCCCATATAGATACTTGATTAATCTGTTCTTCCTCCCACTCCTCCCTCTCCCTTTTCACACATGGCTATTGCAGCGTTAGCACAGAGGAGCTTCCCATACCTAGTTGCAACAACTGCTGGAGTCTGGGCAGCATCAGCCAAGAACTGACCCGTTCTAGGGGACACCTTGTTCACAGCTTCATAGACATAAGATGCAACTGCATCAGGGATGACCAGCCAGTCACGACGGTCTCTCTCAAAGACAGACTTTGAGTGCACTTCTGAAAAAAAGGAGGCAAAACCCCATCAGGCTTTTCCAGTCACTCATGTCTCTCATATTTTCCCCCAGGTGCAGTGGAAAGATTCTTGAAACTCTGAAATTCAGAACCTCCCCCTGAATTCGCTCCAGTAGCATCCAGCAGCACCTCTTCACCTCTTTGTGGTGAATGCCACAGGCCTTACATGGCAGAGTGTTTGCCATGTAAGGACAATTTTCATGCCAGATCTCTACTGACTTGTTTCACACTGCTGAGCACTATGTATTCATGGTCTTCAACTGTAGTGCTGGGCTTAAGTCCAGTGAGAATCTGTAGAGCTGAGCCTTGTCTCAGGCAGACAGAAAAGCTTTTCAGACTTACCAGGCAGAGTGGTGCTGAGGAGCAGAATCAGAGCTATCACCAATACCCTGGATTGCAACATGGTTTGCAGTACCAGTTCTGCTCTCTATACTGAGAGACCTGCAGGAATCAGCATACAATGTTTGTTTATTTTCAGAGAAATAAAACATGTTGGTTAAACACCAGATTTTTGCAACAAAGCTAACCAATAAATGAAGACAAGAACAGGAAAGACCACAGTGCATTTACTCTGAAGAAGTGAGGAAAAAATAGTATAAAAATGAAGGTGTCCTTTTATTTGTATAATCACAAATATCCACAATAATAACTTTCAGAGCTCAAAGAAATATGTGAGAGTAAAGCTAGGTCTTTTATATGAGAGCTAAAATCTCTTATTTCAGCACATGAACAAAACACTAAAACTGCCAGAAGTAAGAACAGGTTTCCTCTATGCATAAGTACAACTGAAAAATTCATAATGTGGGATTTCCTTGTTTGTTTTATTAAATTGCTCTAAAGAACATTGTGCTAGTGTGCATGTGTGCATCACATACAATGATCATCTTAGTGACCCAGTGATCTGAGTATTTTGCCTTGCTTTAGCTGAGGAAAGTTGCCCACCAGCCAACTAGGTTCACTTGTCTTTTTCACTCTGGGATTAATGCAGCAGATAGTAGCCCAAGCAGAACAAGTTCTCAAAAGGGAGTGAGTGCAAAATTTAGCTTCATCTGACTTCCTTTATTTTTGTCTGTTAAAAAAGTCAGAATTGGAGAATTGAAAATTCAGTACTTGGTACATTGAAAATATATTACATCTAAACAAGCTTTTCAAACATTCTGCACTTAAAAACTTGTTTAGAAATTAATATTGATTTATGCCCTCAATTATAGGGCTGCATCACTCAGATCAACATGAAGAAAACATTGAAGTTTTAGAATTGCAACAGTAAAAAAGGCTGCAAGTCTATTACATGTGAATGCTTTGCTAAATCCCATACCAGGTGGCTACAAGTCAATGCTCCTTCTTATCCCCCAGTAAGGAAATTTCCATCCATTTTTACATCCTTCTGTGCACAGTTGCCTCCAAAAGCTACCATTCCATTTACTAGACATTTGCTGCCCAGCAGCAGTTGCTCCTTTACCACCCTACCTTGATTTTTAATCCCAGAGGCAGTTTTTCTCCATGTACAGAAAAGGTGCAAATTTGCTTCCCAAGAGCATAAAGAGGTGCTCTTATCCACTTTAGAGCCTGTAATCCCTGTGGTAAAGGCAGCTGGGAAAAGGTTATGTATCTTCCAACACTGAAACTCTGCAATTCCTACCATGGGCTTGACCCTCCTATGAGTGTCTTACAGAGCATCCATCACTCAGCTTCAATCCAGGTCACCTCAAGCACCCCCACCTTCCCCCATTTCATCAGTATCCTGCCTGTGGAGTGTGAGAAGCCAATTTCTTATTGGCTTGCAATAAGAAATGGGGAAAAATAGAAGATCATCTTCACTCACTTCCCTTCGATCTAGATACACCAGTCACAATGCCCATCCCACCCAGAACAGAGAGTTCAGCGCTTACCTGTCCTGCCTTCTCTCTCAGGCTGAAGCTGAGGTAGATGCTCATCTGAGACACCAGCATTTATGGAGCGAATATAATGACAGCGAGGGGTCAAAGGTCCTGCTCTGTTTCCCCATTTGCTCTTTTGCAAGCACATCCAGCTCAGTGGGACAGGTAAGAAGCTGTGGAGGACTCTGGACCTGTTATTGAGATTTGGTAATGGAGGGTCAGTCTGACCTGAGCCTAAGAGATGTGGAAGGCAGCTCCTGGGTCACCGAGTCCCCTACTTTCGCAGGCATCTGTGTCATAGAGACCCCTTTCATAAGTTGACCAAATTCCACATTAACAGTAGCTAGACCTGGGCTGAATTTTTGGGAAGGTCTGTGCCGTAACCTCCCTGCTCTGATAGTTGGAACTTACTTACAGCTGTTATGGCCATTGGCATTTCCCCCTCCATTTACAGCAAACGCATTAACCAAAGGGTGCACAGGGGTAAGTGTGCACCCCTCTCACATTTCTTCTTTCCCCATGGTCAAGTCTTTTTGCACAGGCTGACAAGACACAGACCTGTTAGAGCATGCCCAGACGGGCACAAAAACTTATCAGAGGGCTGAAACACCTCTCCCATGGGGAAAGGCTGAAAGAATTGGGGCTGTTCAGCCTAGAGAGAAGGCTCCAGGGAGATCTTATTATAGCTTTTCAATACTCAAAGGGTGCTTATAAGAAATAGGCTTTACCAATGCTTGTAGTGACAGGAGAAAGGGAAACAGGTTTAAACTGAAATAGGACAGAGTTAGATTGGATGCAAGGAAGAATTCTTTACTGTGAGGGTGGTGAGACACTGGAACAGAGAGGTTGTCCAGAGAAGTTGTGGACACCTTATTTATCACCAGAAGCGTTCAAGGCCAGGTTGGATAGGGCTTTGAGCAACGTGGTCTAGTTGCAGGGGTAGGATGGATGAGGTGATCTTGTAAGATCCCTTCCAATGCAAACTATTCTGTTTCTATAATGTCTCCCAAAGATCCCTGGTCCCAGTCAGAAAGTGGTGGCATTGCTGCTGTAGGGCATGTTTCCCATAGGTCAGGTTCCAAGTGCCCGCTGGGTCTTCAGTCAGGTCAGCCATCTGAGTTGAGCACATGGGACCACTGAGCAGAAGGGGGAAGAGACAGAAAGGCTGCAACACTGAGCTACAAAGGTCATCAGCTAAGGGGAATGGGAGGACATAAATTAAACCTACCATGTGAGCCCCAACAGACCTCCATTTTTATGTTGGCCACTTATTTATTAGGTGACTGTCACATGTGGGAAGTGTGAAAAGCTCAACCAGTATCTTCATTTATCAACCAAACAAAATTTTTAGAAGACTTTTCTTCTCATGGTACTTCAAGTGCTTTAGAATCAAACAGTAACTGTTCTCACTTTACAGGCATGGCAGCCAGTCACTGATGGCTAGAGTGGGTCACATCATTAAAGAGGGCTGTCAGTGGTTTCCCATATATTTTTCCCCTCTCTTGGTATTTATTCAAATGATCTTCCTTAGAAAAACGAAGAAAAAAAGGCTCCAAAAAAAGAAAAAAAAATCCCCCATTGAACCAAATAATTTTGCATTTTTGTCCAAAAAACAACAGCAGATTCTTACTAATGGGTAACAAGGTTAATTCCAGAAATAAGAACATAGAATTTTCAGTTCTACTTGTGGTGCAAACACTAAAAAGCAATTTATAAACTAGGAAGTACACACAAGAGCAAATGCTTGAAAGTTCTCTTATATTTCAGTTAGACATGTGACATTCATTGAAAAGGATCTACACACTTATAATCTGCTTTTACAGCTGGGGTAACATTCAGAAGACCGTAACAAGGCACATTATAGGCATTAAACTCAGCAGAAATAGGAATGAGCAGTCCTTACTTGTGGGGGTTAATTTAATATAACCTCAAGTGTCATCCCTCTCCTATGTCAGGTCAACAAATGGAAGGCTCTCACCCCATTATGTGTGTGTTTTTAACTGATGTGCTGCTGGAGGTAGTGGCACAGAGGGGACTTAGCTGCCCTGTGTGGTAATACATACTGCTGAAGAGCTTTGCTTCGGGGTTGTATCACACAAGGTAACTTCCCCAGCTTAGTCAGCCTAGCTTTAGCTAGTGCTATCATGAATACAATCGCAGAGATAGCAACTGGGCATTTCAGCACTTTCTACTGCCAAGCAGGCACTTGCCAAGACCAGATCAATGATTGCACAGAAGCAGCCCTTGCCCTCCATTCCTGGAATGGCATTCCAGAATGGCAGGGCGCTCTGCAAATAAGCAAGAAACCCAGATATTGCAGGTCCTTTCTTAATCAAAGAAATATTACATGATTTTTTATCTCTCTTATGAATCTCTGGTCTGAGGTGCAAAGCAGCTGACAGTAGCATGGGTGTCCTTATCTGGCCCTCTCTATGTGGCATGGTCACATTATCTTAAATTAGGGTAACTCCAGTGGCTATGAAGGCACTTTATCCTAGACAGAAGATTCATTTTTGGGGAGTAAGATATATTCCTTCAACTGCATGAAAAGAAGAACAAAACCCTAGAATAGCAATAACTCCCATATGTGAAACATTCAACTTTTTCCATCACAAATGGGCTGACATATGAACATCAGCTCTTTGGAATGGCTGAAAAATTAAGCATCAATAAATTGCAATATAGAAAGAGTGAGGCTAGGTGATTTCCTACTGCTATTTCTTTTCAGTGTGCTGTATTGGAGCCGCTTAGTTCTCAGTCTCTTTTCAAAAGTCAAAGACATTGTAATCTTACCGGAAAAAAGGGTTCACATTGTATTGTGCAGTGCTGTCACAATGGGTTTCATTTATAGCGAATTAAAACTAGAAATAAGCATCTAGAGCAGAGCCTATTTCCTTCCCACTTTTCTGTCTGCTTGCAGTTGAAAAGTAGATTTCCTTTGTCGTTATTTCACAGCCCACCACCAACTGGTGTTTTATGAACCGCAGTGGTCTGTGGACCAGTAAACCTGGTATCATTTCTGCTTCCCTGCTGGATAACTTAGTCTACTTCTGTCGCAATTTAAGAAGTTACAGAATTAACACTCAGATACAATCAGTTTTCCCTGAAGAGTTTTGCTTAATGTTTCTATAAATAAGAACAAAGTGACTGAAGAGGATATCAAGTATGATAAAGATAAAACTCTTCAGACTTCACACAGCACAAATTGTGTTCACACAATCTGCAATTAGTCACCCTAGCTCAATTATGGGGACTAGAGGAGCAAATAAAGATGGAGGGCTCCTTCATAGGATGTAGATAAAAAAGCACAGCCTCTGCAGTGCTCATACTATAGCAGAAAGCTTCCAACAGCTTCTTCCGTTACAGAATCATCTGGGTTTTCTTGCAGTGTGAGGGGGTTCTTGCTCTTGAGAAAACTTGCTGGGCACATGTTGGCTTATACACACTTGAATGTCAATGAAAATGAACTCTTTCCATGCTACCATATTGGGATCTCCTCTCATGTCTCTAATAGCCTCTACTCTTTGATGGAGAAAGGGACAGCCCTTCCCTGAAACCTGGACATTTGGGCTTGGTTGGAATGACAGGAAAAAGTTGTCCTGTATGTTGCATGAAACTATGAAGCACAAGGAGAGAATCAAATTCCAAGTTACCAATTCAGCTTCCATGGGTAGAATCTGCAGGGTCCTGGCTATCTGCTAAAAGTCACCAGAGGGCAAAGCTAAAGTCAGAACTCGATGCTAGTTTTGGAAGAAGGTGCCTCATATTATTTTCTGTCATTGCAGTCATCATAAACTCCTCTTAACTAATAAAAATACTAGTCCATCATAGAAGAGAGGGTTCATAAAATCCTCAGCAGGTCATAAAATAAAAATAAAAATGATTCACAGCCAGTGGCTGAGGAACAGATTCAAGAGTGATACTGGCTTTGCAAGTTCTGCAAACACACCTAATTCCCTATATTTCAAATGTGACTTGTGGGTCTATTCACATTGTTCAGTTTGGGTCTAATGCAGACAAGTATTACGCTTAATATAGCCCTCCTTTCTTAAATTCAAACTTTGGAGTTAGTCTTTTAGATCTTTTTTTTTTGATAGCAAACAACTGCTGGCAAATAGACCCTCTGTCTTCAAAAGGTAGGCCTCTGGTTCTGAAACAAAGTCAACTAGAGAAGCTAGTTGGTCCTCCTGCTTTATCTCCAGAGGCAGAAATCAGGAATAAGCACTTTCAGCCAAGAAACTGTAGGAAGATGAGCACTCTCTGTAGTAGCCTTTGGTCGACCAGCAACTGCATCGGATATCCAACTAGGACCATTTGTATGAAGTGTGATACTTCCCATCATTGTCCAAAGAAAAGAAAAACAAGGAGGTGGGCAAAATGAAAGTCTCTCCAAGTCAGTCTTCCAAGGGAAAGCATAAGTACATCAGTAATTAGGACATTAAAGAACAAACAGTAGCAAGTGTCCCACGTGGCACTGGCTGGGAAATGAACTAGGCAAGACAGTCATTGGTACTGGCCAATCTCCATTGCCTCTGGGTTACAAAATAATTCACAAGATTCTCCAAAAGCTCCTTGAGAACCGTTGAGTCTCTTAAATCCAAGAAGTGCCTCTGGCAAGCCAGTTTCCCGTGGAAGCAGCCAGCATCCAGAGGGCTTCTCTTTCTCCGGCACATTTTAAATTAAAACAGTGGATTAATCACATCAAGGAGAAACGGCAAGTTTTTCTCCTTCACAAGTGGTCTCAGAGCATAGAAAAATTCTGTGTTCTAGCTGTAAGGTGAAAGATGAGGGAACCCTACAATCTAGCTTACAGATCAGATGCACCACACATGCAGCGCTGTGTAAGTGTCAAGGTAAAGATCATGGACAATATTAAAAATGGTGACTGTAAGAGTTCTTCAGAGCCCTTTATCCCACCCCATGTATATGATACATGGCATAGAGAGCCAAGGGTGAATATAAAATGCATGGAAAAGAGTACCTGGCTTAGGAAAGATATATTCACCAAAAACGTGCTTCCTCGAGTTGAGGGAAATTCTGTCCATGGTGCAAGGGACAGCAGTCATACTTTACTCAGTCCCTGAAGAGAAGGCCAAACCTTAGTAAATTTAGCCCTTTAAGTTAAAATAAATTCAAGTCTCGATGAAAGGCTAGAACAAGTATTTTTTAAGGCACTAAGGTCTAAGCCTAAAGAAGGCCAGATTGTTTCAGTCAGTAAAGGGTGGATAACCCGGCAATTTGCAGACAAGTTAGTGAGATCTTAAGGCAGTGAACATCCTTCCAACACTGTGATCCTCCTGTTTGGGAGAGAGGCTTAGTGGGGACAAAAGGAAGCAACTGCCCCAACTATGCTGAGCAGCCAGGCAGAAGCAACAAACATTACACATTCTGAAGCACAACAAAGGGCCTTAGAAAGAAGATGCTGTGCCTCCCCACACCAGAATCGCAGGGGACCAGATCAGATGATCTCCAGAGGCCCCTTCCAATCAAAATTATTCTACTGTCTTGTGACTTTACAACTCTGTGAACATTGGAGCCTTTCTCCGGTAACTGGTTTGCAAAGGACCAGCATTCTACAGACTGGGCTCCTTGCAGTGCCAGGGCACTTAACAAAGAGAACCAGTATCTCTCCAGACTAGGAGTATACTATTTACTGAAAAAAAATCTGTTGTTTCCAATAGCAGTAAACTACAGCCCATTGCAAACCTGTGTTTCCAATCACAGTGAGAATAAAAATGGGTTATGCATGGCTTTCATGGGCACGAGTCATAGATTCTTCAGAGTTGCAAATCTAAGGAGAAGCTGCTTTATCTGGTTTATTGCTGGTTGTCTGTTCAATCAAAAGCAGCCATCCCAACCCACATAGTAAAAAAACTAAGAAGAGTCCAGTGGGAATCGTAGTTCTTTCAGTACTGACATTAAATGATTATGCTTTTTCCACTGTGGGAACTTGCTCTGTCCTGCAAGAGAAAAGAAAAGATTCAGGAACAAGGAGTGATGAATAGAAATCATATGTCTTCCTACCTGCTTTGAACACCAAAACAAAAACCATTCATACATAGACACATCCTAGCTGGAACTTGAACTCTGCTTCCTTCTGAAACACAGAAGTGAAAATGTGCAAAATACAGTCCCTTCAGAAGACTTCTACCTGTTAAAACTCTGCATATATGTGATAAGGGACACTTAACATTTTTTTATTTAAAAGAATCTTCATTTTTTAAGGGGAAATACACTGTCTAATTTGGAGACTCGCATTTGGATATGAAACTTTTCACATTTAGGTTGCCGCCTAAAATCCAGTCCCAGTCCAGACAAGATGAGCTGTAAACAATAGCTGTTCACTGCCCATATAATGCATGTTCAGTTCTCAGGAGTCCCAAGAAGAGTCATCCTCTTCCACCTGGCTTGGAGAATGACACATTTCTCATCCATGCTACCTGAAAGCCTGTTTTATGTAGCTTTAGGCATCTTACCTGGATGGATATGAATCATCTTAAAAATATCACCAAGATACAATAAAAATTAAACGTTAAGGATAGATAATAGGAGAATCATGCACATCGTAAAAGAAATCAGAAGTAAACCAACTCCAGAGATGGTTGCAGATGGGTACTCAGTACTGCTGCCTAGTCTGGAAGTGCTTTCTCTCCAGTCAGTGCCAGAGAACAGCTATTTTAACACCAACATATGCATAGAACCCCAAAAGTGAGAGGGTATAACATATCACCCTGTAGGGGACCTACTTCTGCAGCCATGCAAGTACTTCTACACATGTCTCAAGGCAGAGAACTCAGCAACCTCTTCACAACTGGGCTCCACAGAGCACTCCCTGCTCCTTGGCCTCTGTTTGCAAGACGACAGGCTATAGAAAGTACAAAACACTTACTCTCATTCCCCAAAACCCAGCTTTTTCCTTAGGTGGAAAAGCAAAAAGGTAGCTGACTCACCGAGCGTGTCCCTGCTCTGCCTTTGCGCTTCTGGTCCTGATTCGGGATGATTTCTAAGGAGCGATAACTGGGGGGTTTATCTTCCGGCCATTCCCGAGACCGGTTCCTCCGCCTGCGGTTTGTCGCTGGGACATGGACCTGATCCTCTGAGGAGCTCCACGACCCCCTGTGAGAAGGGGGGGAGTAGCTGTGCCGCCGCTGGCCCAAGTTATTGCTCCTCCCTGTGTGGTTCTCGTATTCTCGCCTCCCTGCGGGCTCCTGTCTCCCGCCACGATGGCGGCTGGAGCGCTCCTTGGCCTCCTCTGGATAGAAGTTGCTGCTGCTGCTGCTCTTGCCCCTCTCAGCTTGGCGTGCAGGCGACATATCCCGTCTGGAGTACTGTGGCCTGCCATTGTAGCCACCTGTCCTCTGCCTGTGAGGATGATCCTCTCGCTGCCTGTCCCAGATGTCCTGACTGTAGCTGGAATGAGAATCCCCACTGGAAGGCACGGGCCACCTCCGGTTTTCCCTTCTGTCCTCTGCTGCAGAGTCCCAGGGTCTGGGGGTGCGAGTGGCTCTTTGCGGCCGTGAGGAGTTGCTGCTCCCATGGACGGAGGAGATGTGATCAGCGAGAGGAGGTGGCATGATGTCGGAGCCCAGGGAGGACAGCAGGCTGGGCTGCACAGCCTGCCGCTGGTGGGAGGGTGGCCGGAGCTGTGACATGTTGAGGTTTTGGATTTCAGACTCCAGATAGTCCAAAACACCGTTGTTATGGGAAAGCTGGGCTTGTGGCTGTACCAGTGGAAGACTGTTCTGCAGAGACACATCTAAGGATAAAAGCACAGGAGAATGCAGCAAGTCAAGAGGAAATGAAGAGAGGGCCCTTCTGCACTCATGAGCCTGGCTGAGTCCCTTCTCTCCTCCTCCTGCTCCTCACTGCAAGAGCTGCATGATACTCAAGCACCACAACCAGCGCATCCAGACCAAACAAGGTAAGATGCAGAGAGTAGTAACTAGTAGCTGCCTTTCCTTAAGAAGACTCAGTGTATTGTGTATTAAATCATGGAGGCTCAGTCACTGGACCTTTCTAAGGAAACTGGTGCCCTGGCTAGGAAAAATGGTAACTGTAGATTTAACTAGTGGGCTGAAGAAGTATATACTCGAACATCTTGAATCTAGCATTTAAGATGTTTGCAAACAGTTTCTTCAAACAACAGGTAAAACTCATCAGACATAGATTAAATCTGTGACTATGGCACAGTGATGAAAAGCTAATTTCAGATAAAAATATGTTATATACTTTTGAGAGGTCATTATGTTGAATTCTTCTGTTTTCCTTGAGCGATTAAACAATATTACTGGTAGTAAGTTATTTTATTTAATTATTTCTCCAGGACTTCAGAGACTTCCCTCCTCCATTTAAGTTACAAATAAATTCCACTATACAAGTGATTTTGGGGCAGAACAACATTTAAAATTCTTCCTGGTTCATTAAAGAGTCTTTCATTTTTCGCTGCATGCAGGGTAGATCTATTTCACAGAAGGCAGTTTGCCCTTAATCATTTAAGACTAGAGATTTGATAAGAACTCAAACAAATTGCACCTCACTTGTCATGTCAGTTTTGGCTATAAGGAGTTGACCGTGACCAGCACAGCAGAACAAAGAGACAGTACCCTCCTCTGCCACACAAAGCAAGATAAGCTGGGTATATTTACCCTGCAGGCGCTGGGGTGTAGCACAGATATACCTTAGTTAGCACTAAACTACTTCACCCAGCACTGAGCCCAGCAAGATGAACAGGCTGTATTTATCCACCCAGGCAAGTCTACAGTACGCTGTAAATGTAGCAGAGCTGTTATGCTCAGACATGCAACCATGCTAGAAACATCTCTCTTTTGTAGCAGAGAGGCTAAAGCCTCAATGCTGAACTTCCCTAAGAAGTTACCTGGTTCTCATCCTGATTTCCTTCTGAAATGATGCCCATGGTCTTACCTTGTTGCAGTAGAGGGTTCAGCTGGTAAGAGGAAAGTTTTGAGTTCCTGTCACCACCTCCATAGAACATATTGGGTGATATCCAAGGTGCAAGTGCCTGAGCCCGTTTTATGAACCGATGCCGTTCCAGTACTGGAAAAGAAGAAGAAAGCTTACTGCAGCTATCCAGAGAGCACAGCTTGCAGATCACGTACCATTTTGCTTGTTAGGCTGTAGTCTTTGGATACAGGAAATTCACAAAATGAAAATCTCTCTCCACCCTATGACAAAGTTAAAACAGAACACGGGAAATTCCAATATGAAGTTGTATATCTTCAAAAAGATACCTAAAACAGAAGAAAAGGGTTACTGCCTAACATTCAGAGTCCAGTCCCAGCAACTGGGAACAAATAACACTATGATTAAGTATGCAGCACTGCCAGGTGTAAGACTTCTACCTGCTCTGTCATTATGCGTATAGTTGTGGAAAGGCATGAAATAATGTTTCACACAGTAAGACGTACCACAGTTTTCTCTCTCTCAAAACTTTTTCAGCTCATCATTGGTCCTTTCCCCTTTTAGTTTTGATTTACAGCTAAACAAGATCTTTCTTTGCCACTTTCATGTGTGTTCTGTCCAGATTGTATTTTCCACTCTATACTCCATCATTTCCTCTCTGTTCCACATATAGGGCACTCAGAGGTGCACTGTCCAGCTTCTCCCTTTCTAGTCTCTCTCTGTAATTTACCTCAGCATGACTGCTAAAATTAAATCCCTTAGGACAGTGTGATCAAACTGGCGAACAAACTAAATTTCCAGTTTTCAACAGCAATGTCTAGTGTGCCGAAAGAGCAAACTTGGTGGAAATGTCTCTTCCTCATTGGGTTTCCACCACCATCTCCAGAACCCTATTCGTGGGGTCAGGCTCCATTCACTTTTTTCAGCAATTCCATCTCACCTCCTCTACATATACGACCTAACAATTCTTGCCTTCAAAACCATAGCTCATCACTGCTTCTTTTGGGGGAATACCTAAAAACATCTTACAGAAACTTACTATTTCTGCCTCAAAACTTAGGTTTACAAGCAAGCAAATTCTGCAAGTCCCAGACTTTACAAAGCCTGGTTTGTTTGTCATTACTGAGTAAAGCTTTTCTGCAACAGGGCCTTTGCAAAATTTCTCTCATATGGCTTCCCCGGAGTTTCAGAAGTGATAGGCTTTTACTGCAACCTCATCTCTGGTCAGGCATGAACAGAACATTCCTGGCTATACAGTTCAGGAAACAGATAGGAACATAATTGCCTTTGAGACTGTTACTCCTCTAATAAACCTGGCTGAAGTTGGCTGATGAAATTAAAAGCTATTGGAGGGAAAGAGATAGGGGATAGACAGACAGGTTGACTGCAAATGATTTGCTTCTTTAAGAAACCAGGCTACAGCTAAGCTCCAATTAATTCTGTCCCCAGGGTTCATTGTATCAGGCAGCATTTAGACTGCATGTTCTCTGGGACCGAGCTTTCCATTTCAGGTAGCACTCCAGTTATTAAACATGTTCTCCTTTAGCTGTTTCACTGAATTTATACAGAGCACCACTTGCAGCAAAACAAGGACTGACCATGCCTCTCAACTCATCCTACCCTTTCCCCACAGGTCATGCAGCTCCGCTTCATTCTCCGTTTCAGACTCCCCCTTCAGTCTGGCTCCAACCAGAGAGAACTACAAAGCTGGAAACTTCAGGGGTTTTAATCCTAATACTCCGATATATCTTCAAAGCTCTGTGGCCTGAGGTAGCAGCTTTCAAGCACTTTATGTCAAACTTGATTCACTTTCTTTTCTTTTTTTTTTTGTCCCAAGAGATTTCCGTCCAGTTTAGGTTTCAAACTTGAAGGAAGAGAGAAAGAAGATGAAGGATAAAAAGAAGAGAAAGGCCTTATCTCTCCCTCTCTTATTCCTCCAGTTACCACCTTGAGAATGTCCTAGAACCTGCTGAGTGCACGTCCCTCGGTTTTGACCATGGTCTTTGCCTGAGGAGCAGAGGTCCAGCAGCTGTGGGCATACCTACTTAGGGTTCTCCCCCTTAAGGTGTGAAGGCAGTCACTAGGACCAAGGTCATCATGTCCCTGTAATTCTCTGATCTCTTCCTACAGCTGAACAAATGCAGAATTACTCCTGGACTTCCTTCACTACTTTTAGCCTTTCTTCCTTCCCCAGAGACTTTGCTTTCCAGTTTGAATCCGATATATATTCTGGTTCCCCACCTGCAAAGTTATAAATCTTTCTAAAGTGAACATATTTATTTAAGAATGGTCAGATTCACCCTAATTCCAAAACTCATACGTGCTGTAAAACTTTGGCAGAATGTTGTGTTGTTCCCTTCATTTATTCCCTGTTGAGAAAGGTTGTTCTTCACCTCTGACAGACCTTACAGCTGCTGGGCCAATTATTCAATTATTAAAAAAAATATTTTTCAACCTAGTCAGACCCAGGTGCAAGTATATCCTATTTTATTCCAATTCATTATTAGAAGAAGTCCACACTAGAAAACGAACTAATGGGAACAGAAGGAGGTCATACATATATTTACCCTGATGGGCTTTTCGCAGAGCTTTCCATTGGGAACGTAATTGGCTTGCTCCTGGGGCATGTTTAATATTTCTGTACACCAATCCTGAATTACTCAAACAATGCACTTCTTTTATTGCTAGGTTTAAAACCACGGTACTTAGTGCCATGATTCACAGCCGCAGGATTACCTTTCCTCAATGGTACCTGTGACTGTTCAGTAGATCTAGGCTGTCCTCTAGTGGCCAATAATTGGGAAGAAAACATCCACACTCGGCTCACACTGTAATCGTAAAGGAGATGAGGATTTCTGCCTTCTCTTCAGCTGTATGGAACTCAGGACTATTTTTAAGATGTTCCCTGAATCTATCTTCTTGTGTTTTTTTAAGGCCTCCAGTTCATTTCTTGGAGTGAAAAAAAAGTAAGTCAGAGGCAGGACGAAGTGAAGATGTGTTAGAGGAGGGGAGTAGGCACAAGGACCCTTTGCAAAGTGGATAAAGAGAGCAGGCAGCTGGGATGGAAATTATAGCCACAGAACCCAGCAGCCAGTCAAGGAGGCTGGTCTTGCCTGTACCTTCTCTCATGAACAGGGAGAGGTTTTGGGAACCCTGCAAGAATTCCTCCTCCTCAACAGGAGGCAGGAAATAACAGCAGCAGTCTGGAGTGAGCTATAATCTACTGCACAGAAAAACAGAAAGGAGCTCACATTAAATCTGAATCCCTTTTTTGTTGAGAAGTAGGAATTCTGGAGGTGTGAGTCCTTCATCTCCACCACCTCTCTCTCCCTTCGCGGAAACTAATTTTTCTGCCAGATTTCCACAGCCTCCTCAACACTACGCATTTCACTTGACAACCTGTAAAGCCCCCCAAAAGTGTTTTGTTTTGTTTTTTGCAGTAAGAGGGATGTTCTGTTCTCTCTTTGCAAGGGCTAAACAAATCAGGCTTAAGCCTAAAACTCTTACAGCTTACACCCAGCCGATACCAAACAGCTCTTTTGAAGGTAAAGGGAAACCAGGACCCCAGCTCCTTGTTCATAAATTCTCTCCTTGTAGCATCTGGGGAAGAATCTGGTGATTTCAATGATAAATAAACTTATTTGTTGTATTTTGTTCCTGTCAGACTGTGTAAGCTGCAGAGGGCCTAGTCCACCATGTGGCTAAGTTTCATTTACAGGGCTGCAGAGGTTATGTGACTTTAGCAGCCACAATTCAGACAGCAGCCTTATTAAAAAAACTATATCTGGCTGCAGAAACTTTATTATTGCTAAAAACAAACACAACAAAGTTTCTTTTGACCCTCAAAAATGCACTTATACAGTTGAGCACTAAGAGAGATCATCTTTCTCCTTTCTCACTTCCTTCCCCCAAGAAAAACAAATAAAACCTTCTTCTTGTGGAGGGAGCAGCTCTGAAAAAAAATGAAGCTAGAAAATGCCAATTTTTACATAATTCCTCTTGGAGCAACGTACTTGAAGGTTGGGCTAGTTTGGACAGTAGTACAAAGGCATTTGCTTGCGTTCCTCACGTGCACAGGCAAATGAACCACAAGACAGAGAAGGAAAGTCCTGAGCTACTCATACAAGGGAGCTGGATGACATGAGAGAAGCTGGTAAGAAGGTGTGAGTGAGGAGGAACTTCTGAAAGTTGGACACAGAAGAGCAAGGTGGGTCCTATGTATCTCAGCTCCCCTCCTCTAAACTCAGATAAGCCGGTCCCGGAGGTCACACTGGCCACAGAAATGTTTCATTTTATATGGATGCTGAGCAGAGGGGAGAAAGGGGAGCTCAGCAAGCTCCTAGTCAAGTTTTTGTATTGACAAAAGCCATAAATGGATGCGCATTTGCTTGAACCTCACCTTCCTGGTTACAGCAGCACCGGGTTGGACAGCAGCCACACTGGATGTGGCAGCAGCAATACTGGGGGCAGCACTGGCACCAGCATATTCCAATCAGAAGAAGGAGAATGAGGCCACCGAGAATGATGAGGAGTACCGTGAGCCAATCTATGGGAAAAAAGGAGAGAGAAAAAGGATTGATCCTGCTGTATCTGGCTGTGGTAAGTTACTGAGCACCTCTGCACTGCTGGAGATGTCTTGGCGTGGGGAAGAAGAGAACAGGGGGAGATATCTTGCCACCTGGGCAACAAACCACAGGCACTTACGGAGAACAATCAGCTTCACTTCTTTGTCCGCATCACCTGATGTATCTCCTGGTGCTTCCACAGTGCAGTAGTACATGCCATGGTCCCACCACATGACCTCACTGATGACAAGGTCTGCTCCTGCGGGAGAGGGACTGAGAAGTCAGTGGGCTATTTTGGGACTGACACTATTTTCAGGCCCCACTCAAAACCTCTGCCTGCAGGCAACACGGAGTACTGCATCTCCCCTCTTCCCAAACATAGCAATCACCTTCAAACAATCATATTTGAGTCCACTGAGAATTCCTATAGACAACATTCACTGCCAGTCCCTTTCTTCTGTGTTGCTAGAAGGCAACACTACTTAGAAGTGGTACTAGTTCTGTGTGGAGTGAAATAACCAGCATGCTGCTGGGTAGTGAATGTTAACAGACACCAGCTGCTGCCAACTGCCAGCTCTACTGCTTTTGGAATACACTTCACTGTCCCTTAGGCCAGCCATCCTAATAGCTCATCTGGCAGGAGCAACAGTTATTGCTCCAGGAACAGCAGGGATCATACAATACACCTGGACAATTACACAGTACTTCTTAGAAGAATGAACTGTTTTCTAGCCTCTGGGCTCCCCAGCTTTTGTGCTCTTCAACAAAATGCTCACGCATCTCCAGCTCAGCCTTAGCTCCTAGTGCCTCCAACACCCTCAGGCCAACCAGGGACAGGGCCCTTCACAGCTCTTATTCCACTGCCACCTCCCGGAATGTGTAAGCTACAGACTACATTAGCAATGTTTATACCTCTCTTCACTTAGCAGACCCAGATATTTTATAGTTATTGAGTTCAGTGCCTGCCTGGGAGGTCGAGTCACTTACTGTTCTGAATGGTGATCTTCCGTTGCTGGTAGTCGATGCCCAGCACGGGGTCCTTCTGCCCGTATTTCTGGATGACAATGCGCACCTTTCGCTGGCTGTCGTTGCAGTCGTTAGATGGGTCCTGGCCAAGGGCTAAACCAGCCTGGTATGCTACAAACACACAGCAGCAAATAAGATGCCAAAAGTTACTTCAAAGGACCAATTTCTATTCCCCTGTGAGCAGTAGAGAAACTCTTGAGTGGTGTGTGCATTTGCTTTAGTTTAATAATACAAAGCATGGCTTCAAACCAGCAAGGACAAGTCACTTTGGAGTACTCAAAACCAAACAGAGGTAGAGCCACAGGAATGGCAGGGATTTTGAGAATGCAGAAGATGTGGAGGAGATCCCTCCTGTACTCACAAATGAAAGAACAGCAATAGAAAGAGCCTAATGGTGGCAGCTCCCAGTACTAAGATAAACTGCATGGAAAAAAGTCATAAAACACCAAGGAGTACTGGAACTAAAACAAAAGTGTGTTTATTTACCAAACAAAACCTCCAGACATACATGAAAGGGATTGTCTGCCTTTCCCTCCTGTATCCCATTAGATGTTGTGCATCTTATAAAGACAGGATATAATCCATCACCTGATTCCAGCTAAGGATTACGTTAGAGACATCCAAGAGAATTAATGGAGGACTAGAGGCAATTTCTGTGCAATACTCCTGTGACAGACTCACAATATAAACATTGAATTGCCAGGTGTTTGGGAGCTGAGAGTTGGAGAGACAACTGATTCAGTCAGCATTGCCTGCAAAGGGCTTGCAATGAAGAGAGAACAAAGCTTGTCAAAGTCTATTCCACTGCTGTACTTACCACAGAGCATGAATACCAGACCCAGCTAAGCAGACACCATGACCTTGATGCTTTTTGTCACTGTTGGCGCCTATTAGCTTGAGCCTGGGCTAAAAGCACTCATGTTATGCTGGGATCAGCTGAGCCAGGGACCTGCCTGCTTGTGGACTAGGCTGTAGAGCACTTGTTAATATGCCTACCTAACCCACCCAAGCTGCATAAAGGAGAGTTTGGGCACTAAGACACTCACTCTGAGCTCAGTCCTAAGTGTACAGTTAAGCTGAGGCCACTTAAACATACTGCAGGGTTTATATAGAATAGAATAGAATAGAATAGTTCATTTGTAAGGGACCTACAAAGGTCATCTAGTCCAACTGTCTGATCACTTCAGGGTTGAGCAAAACTTAAAATATATTATTTATTAAGGGCACTGTCAAAATGCCTTTTAAACATTGACAGGCTTGGGGCATTGACCACCTCTCTAGGAAGCCTATTCCAGTGCTTGCCCACCCTCTCATTAAAGAAGTGCTCCCTGGAGTCCAGTTTGAATTTCTCCTGCTGTAGCTTTGGACCATTCCTACACATCCCATCACTGGATACCAGGGAGAAGAGACAGCACTTCTGTCTCCACTTTGCCTCCTCAAGAAGCTGTAGAGAGCAATGAGGTCACCCCTCAGCCTCCTTTGTTCTGACCCAGATAAGCCCAAAGTCCTCAGCCACTCCTCACAGGACATGCGTTCCAGCCCTTTCACCAGCTTTGTTGCCTTCCCCTGGATGCATTCAAGTACCTTAATATTCTTAAATTCTGGGACCCAGAACTGCACACAGTTCTCAAGGTGAAGCCACACCAACACTAAATATAGTGAGATCATCACATCTTTTAGCCAGCTGGTTATACTGTGTTTGGTGCACCCTGGAATGCAGTTTGCACACCATATTAAACACTCCTGAATTAAGGCTGCCCACACCAGAGTGTCTGCACACGAAGTGCTCTCACCAGTATTAAATGTTATCACTTAGAAGTCTTTCTACCCTCCAAAATGCATGTGTTTCTTCTACTTTCTAAAATCAGTAACATCTCGTCACAGGTATCTATCTCCAACTGTGGGGTCCCCCATGGAATCATAAAGTCAACTTGTTGCAGGGCCCTTGCTTTCAAACATGCTGAAGTATAAAAGGGGGCTGCCAAGATTGACTTATGTCAAACGTGGCTGAGCTGCTCTGCCTTCTGAATTGATGACCAGGAGGACAAATGAAGTGCTTTGGCTGAAATCTCTACAATCTCGTATCATAAGCCCTTGACATTTCAAAGCAAATCACAGACACGACCTATTTTTCCTTGGAGCGCTGGGAAATACCACCACCCAGTTTGAGAGTAGAAAGGCATCAAAGCCTGTATTACCAAGCAAGTCCACCTCCCCCTTCCTTTCCACTGGAAGAGGGATTCCTCGAAGGACAAGCTTAACACTTACAGGCTGAGTAGTAGTCAAAGATGGGGTCCTTGCAGAAGGATTTGAAGCGCCAGGTCACCACCACGTCCTGCAGCTGAGCTGACGTGCTGTAGTCACATCTGAGGATGATAGTGGCAAATAAGGTGGTGTAACGCTCAGCATCCTGCACTGTCACCAGGAGGGAGAGGCAACCTGCAAACAAGAACAGAGAAGGCCATCAGCCCACAGACTCAGAACTCACATCACACCATGTGTTCTGCACCAGACCAGTGATAGAAGCACATCTCTTTCAGCCTCATCCAGGACCTGCACCTACAGACCTTCCAGCCTCTCTGGTGAAGATATTAAGGGTTACAAACCCTGGTTAGAATGTGAGTCCCATCTTTCCTTGAAGGCAGCTTCTTTGGCCTGCCCTATGGACTGAATTCTCCAAAGCAACTATGAGTAGCCATTATGCAGCAAATCACTCTGTGTTCTTTTTCTACATGGAGAAAACTGTCCCTCCAAGCTGAGGGAGATAATTTGTTGGGCCCAGAAGCACACAGGATGGGACTGCCTTGGCTTTTAATCCTAACCAGAAAAATTCTGCAGCACCACCTGTTCATATAAAACACCAAGTTAATTTTATCAAGGTCTCACTAAGACAGTAATCAGAACATTACTTAGTGGTGACCAGGATTAAGACAATACAGCTTCCATCCTGTAGCACTGTTGTTAATCTGTTTATCACAACTTCACACATCAATTACAGCACACATCAATTACCCTTTTTTTCCTTTTTAATGAAGCTATTGTTATGTATCTTAGAACTCTTCCTAACAATCTCCACATCATTTTCTATCTAAGAAGCCGCACACACTGAGGAGAGTTTTACAAAGTTTCACATAATCTATGCTTTATTTTAGGCATACTCCGGAGACATCTCTATCTTATTTAAACTTTGATAATACAGTAAGTTGTGCTTGTCATTAACAATAGCGAAGTTATCACCAGTTGCCTTTGATAAGGGAATACAAACAGTGCAGAGCAAGTGTGGGATGCCCTGTCTGAATACATGCCAGAGAACAGGGCAGTGACTGCAGTGTTGGGCTAGTTGCTTCTTAACTGGGAAGCATGACAGCAGGAAAGGCAGGAAGGAAATGGGGAGGCTTGGAAGGTACCAACTGAACAGGTCTCCATTAACTAACACATTTCCCTCTACTCCATGTTTTCAGGATGAGAGCAAGGGAGTAAGTTGCTAATACTATGTACTAACATCTGGATCACAGCTGCAAGCATCATTCTTTGTCAAGCATCATTCAATGTCCTCTTAGGCTGGACCTCCACACTACGTTCCAGGCAAATACGAGTTCACACAGTTTCCACATGGTGGAAAACATGCTGCAGAGGTGCAACGCAGCCTCAGCAAGTAATTCTGCAGTAGGCTATTGTCAATGCAGTACTTGCTCAGTTTCTGGTTTGAAGTGGACTCCTGGTCAGCCAACTGAAAGCACAGGCAGAGCGAAGTAATTTGCCTTAAAAATACCACACAAACATAGAGAGGACCAGGGCAAACCCTGAATCCAGGCTCACTTAAACACTGAAATACCAGCAGCTGTGCAAACCTCTAGGAAAAACAAGTTTTTACAATGCTGTAGCAAAGCAAGGTCCAGGCTGCAGACAGGTAATTACAGTTGCTCTTATTTAAAAGCATTGTAGTTCAACACATCTTGTTTCAGCTTTCATTGTGAAATAGTTGACTCATGGAATCGTAATTCAGAAAATCACAAGAAACCAATCCAAACTTCGAACTCTCAAAACTGGCAAAACATTGATCTCAAGGTCAATCAAATGAAACCCCATATGAATTCTGACTTGTCTCATGGGAACAGAACATTTTCCATGGGTTTCCTACAACAGGATCTCTCTGGCAAGAGTAAACCACTCAAAATCACTACGTGCTTTTCACTTACAGAAACAAAATCTTTTTATGGAGGGGATCCTTTCTCATTACCTCTGTTCTGCAAAAGAGTCAGAATTGGAAGGTAAGTTCCTTATTTTCTAAGGAGACTGAAAAACCTACTGTTCCCACTGGAAGACAGTCAGATGTCTCTGCATGTCCGATGTTTCATATTAACCTCCTCGAAGAAAACGGAAAAGTTGTAAAAATTAAGGCTGGTTCCTAAACTTGGACTGCATTACTCCACTGCAGGCTGCTATCCTTCTTATCCTGGCAGGGAAGAACAAATCTGGACACTACTAACCTAGCAGGCTACCTCAGGCTATGGCTTCGCAGTGAAGCCACGAACCTTCAGGGCCAGTAAAGCCAAGGTTTGGTTAGAGCATCACCCAAGAATATGGCTGTCAAGCAAGACAACAGACAAGCATCCCTCCACACTTTTTTGCTTCTTTAACTCGTTCTCTGTGAAAAACTGAACTTCGGTACTTAAAGCCAGATCACCAGCCAAGACCCAGGCATCCAAGAAGCAAACCGATAATTTTATTTCCAACTGGAGGTCCGAAGCTGTCAGGCAACCCGCAAAGCTTGGCAGAAATAACTCTGCTTGCTGGAGGCCGCCCCTGGACACGGAGGTGAGCTCCCGTTCCCCACAGGCTCGTACCCACGGGTGAGGAAGCACTGCGGCTCCCCCGATCCCCAAACAGGCTGAGCCAGCAGCAAAGCCTGAGGTGGGCGACTGCGACAGGTCAAAGGGGGACCGACCCCTCCGTGCCCGCGCCCTGCTCCCAGGTTCCAGCCAGGCCAGCCGCACGCGACCGATACTGGAGGCTGCCAGGAAACAGGCGGTCACTTCCTCCTAGGAGAGCGCCCAGCCGCACCTTTGGGACAGCGAAACTCCCCTCTGCATGCTTCGTAACGAGCTCGGGGGAGGCCTGGGAAGGGCACCGAGAGAAGAACGGCGCTCGCCCGGCCCTGGCCGCCCCTTCCTTCGCCGCGGGGCCGCCGCCGCTCCCCGCGACCCCGCACCGCCTTAACCCCGGGCGAACCCCGAGGGCGCCTCCCGGGTCCCGGCCTGGTGCCGCGGGGGTGTCACCGGCTGGGACAGGACCCCGGGGCGGGCCGGGACCCCACGGCCCCACTCACCGGCCGGCAGCCAGGCCAGGGCCAGGGCCAGCGCCCACCGGCAGCGCCCGTGCGGGGCCATGGCGCGCAATCCTCCTCCTCCTCCTCCGCCGCCGCCCGGGGACGTCGCGCCCACTGTCCCTCCCCTTCCGTGGCACCTGTCCCTGGGTCGGGCGCTGCCGCCGGCTGCAGTCCCCTCCCTCCCTACCTGCGCCCTGCTCCGCAAAGCCAGGCAAAACACCCTCCGCCAGCTTCCGACACTGCTTTAAAAGTATATATATATATATATGTATAATATAAAGATATATTCCGCAGTATATATTTATTATATAAATATAAAATAAAGTTTTTAAAAGTACATGTAATTCGCACACAAGTGTACGGGAAGTTACGGGCACAGAGTTTCGCCCGGGGCAGCACCTCCCACCCCAGGGGCGCACGGGAGCGCACGCCTCGTCCTGCGGGCATTAGCAACGTTTGGGGAATTCGTCCCATTCTCCCGCGACATTTGAAAAGACCGCAACCGCGGCCAAACAAGAGGTTACTTTAAAAGCAAACCACAACCAAACCAACCCGAAGTTAAACACCCAGCGGCCCCTCTAATTCGCCCGCTGCCGCCGCCGGGCCCGCCCCGCCGGACGGCGGCTCCCGGGGCGCCCCGCGGCTCCCGTTGCCCGGAGACCGGTAACGCGGCGGCGGAGCCGGGCCCAGGTACGAGGAGGTGGGACGGTCGGGGTCGCTCCGGCCCCACGCCGCCCCTCGGGGGGCCCGCGGGTTCCCTGCGGCTGTGCCTGGCAGCCCCTCTCCTCATGCACCCGCACTGCGCTCCCCGGGGCCCCTCTGTGCCAGGCACCCTCCCCCTGGCCCCTCTGAGGCGCCCTCCCCTGCTGCCTCTGGGGAGCGCCGGGTGTCCCCTGCCTGCCCCTTTGGTACTCGCTGCAAGACAGGAATGAATGTCCTGCAGCACATCCCGTGCTTCATCTGAAGTGTGGGACTTGTTGGGTTTTCGTTACCACCTGCGAGGCAGTTAATTTTATGACCTGTTGCGTTTGTGGCACTGTTCTCATGCTCATTTTTATGATTTTCCTTTATGCTCTAAGTTAATAAGTAACTGGTGATGTCACCCACTCTGGTTTCTGCTTAATAAAAACCTGGTAACCTTTATTCACAAGGCAGGCTTTAAGAGACTTAAAACGGTTGCTTGCATGAGACAGAGCTAGGATATGTGCATCATAGAGAGGGCTACTTTAGGTGTAAGTTGGAAATTAGAGTTAGGTTTTATTTCTCCTAATTTTATAAAAAAGTATTCTGCCTGTGTGCAACATAGCAATAGTGAGGTTCTAAGCAGGGCTCTCCATCTACTTGTTTTCTCTCTCTGATGGGGGGAAAAAGAGACAATGAGGCTATGGTAAAGACGGTTTGTCTAGATCCAGCTTTGTAGCTTTATCCTTGCTGTCTCAGTCTCTGACTAGTAAATAATTTATAGACTTCACTGTTGTGAGAATTGATATCTTCTCTTATTCTCCTTGCTCTCAAGTCTTCTAGCTGTTGTAAAAGAGACAGCAATATTCTCTCATACAGAATTTTTTTCTTTGGGGTCTTAGGTTGCTTGCCTAAAACTGACTTTCATTACTAATTCTGTAGTAATGCTGATGGATAATGATTAACAGACAGCACTGGTTAACTATGCCTGATTTACACTTAGATATTTTTCTTTGTGTGTATAAGCACTAAAAGACTTCAATATTTTTTGAATGAACTCAAAAAAATTTTGCAGAACTCTCCTGCTTGCACATTTTGTACTCATCAGCAGCCCAATAAATTGCCGATGTACTCTGATGTGGTCTGAAGGCTAAAAGGAATGCTAAGAGAGTTTTTCATTGGTCTGCTGTTTTTCATAAAGAAATGGAAGATTCAGAAAAAAAGTGCTGAGGAGGCAGGAGACTGTATTTGAAAGTGAGTTAAACGAGCAGGACTTGGCAGATGGGGAGAAATCTGACACATCCAAAGCAGAGCTAGACTTGTAGAAGATGCCTCATCCTGGAAGAGATGATTAGTATGCAGTTCCTCTTGGCAGACACCTCTCATGACAGCCAAATTTTGCAACCATATTTTAGGCCAGTGTTACCCCCAGTCAGAAAGAGCAGAGTGTGGTAGCCTTTAAGGATCGCAGTGCAATGCTAAAGAGGAGTCAGGATTGGAAGTCCTGGGACAAACTGAGTTCCTTCATGTGGAATAAAGACAAAGGACTAACACACAAGACAATCTCTCCTGAAAGAAAGACCAAGTGTCTTTTTTTTTTCAAAGCCCACCAGTGGCCAAAGCTTTTCTACAAAAAATGGCATATTTTAGGGTGAACCAAAAAATAAAATCCTGAAGAAGTAGCACCATGTAGAGATTAATTTTTAATCTCTTGCTTGTTGCTGGTACTAATAGCACTGCAGTTATGTTCAGCATTAATAGTTCCCTATTTCTGCATATCCTGGATTAGTGGACAGAATTATCACTCTTCTGTAGATGTAAAAGCTGATAGGTGATGCCTTTTAAGCACACTTGCTTAATAGTAGGGCAGAGACAGCTTAAAATAACTATTAGATATGTTCTATTTCTACAGTAAAACTATAGGCTGCATTTTGATCATTATTTAATTTGATGTATTTTGTGCAATTGAAGCGTCAGTCACAGGGTTTATGAAAGCAAGAACTGCATTTATGAGGCTTACACATTGAAACATCTTTTTTTCTGGAAAGATGAAAAGTGTAGGATGACAAACTAGAAAGAAAGTAGTGTCATCTCACTGAATTTGTTTATGTGTTACCAAATAAACACCCATTTCATTTAATTATGCTGTATTTTGAATAAATGAGACAATTGTCTGAGATGAGAATATTTGAGAAGCTCCCATATGTAGGGATTCTGTGTGGGAGCAAAATTGCCAAAAACATTTTAGTTTTGAAATAACTGAAAGCATATACCAGAATGAACACATTTCTCCATTCTGTGGCCTTTGAGAACACAAGCTGAGAGAAAGGCAATTTGAAAGAAAATGAAGCTTTGCTGAAATTCACAGTTTGCAGCACTGGCCACTGAAACAAGGAAAACTGGAATTCATTCCTGATTGAGTTCTTATAAATGGTGGAACTGATGTGGATCTGGTACAGTGTTTCAAGTCAGTGTCTTGATTTACTAGGACTGAAGGAAAAATATGCTGCCCTGGTCAGGTGTTGGCAGAAAAATTCTGACTGCTAACTTGTTTTTTCCCCACTAGATTTGTCACACCAGTTCTACTTGTCACTGTCTGTTTTCAGTATCAAAAGCCTTAATTCTTTCTGATTTAGGAAATCTGTCTCAAAAAAAAACATACAGAAGAGGAAAATCAACACTCAGGGAAATGTGTGTTTTTGGCATGGTGAACCCGCACATAAATTTTCTGGATTAGCCAACTCATGAAACCCACAATCTGCAGCCAAAGTAGACATGTTACCCCCTTGAGCCTCCTCTGAGTCTTTAAATTCAAAGTTTGTTTTGGCACAGTGCTTGAACGCTATCACAATAACATGCACAATGGACATTTAATAGATTTCTTTAACTAGAACCCAGATATCAATGCAGGCGGAAATGTTCATACCCTCTTTCAGCCTAAAGCATTTTCCAGATAGGAATTAATTTATAATGAAAACTATTATAGTCTTAATTTTTAGAAGATAAATGATTTCTAATTAGCTACAATAATTTGAAATTTTATAGCTCTTTTCTCTATGGATATCAAAACACTTTGCTAAGATGGGTAAGTATTATTATCTCATTTTTCACAAGAGATAACTGAGACAGCCAGAGGTGAAATGGCTGATACAAATTGTACACGTCATTACTGGGTTTGGAAATAGAATTCAGGTCTCTGAACACTCTGCTATATATTTATGCAAATAGTCTACAACTATTTCTTCAACTTCAGTGATATCAGTTTTGGTACCTCATTAAAAACTCATGAATTTCTTTTAAATATATTGAGATATATTGCAATTGTTTTCATTTGTTTTCTAAATGTAAAACTTTCTGAATGTCTATTTTCAAGTTTTTCTCAGCACTCCTGAGGGATAAAAGCTCATTTGTAATTTTTAAGTGAAATTATGCAGGAAAGTCAGACTCTGGCAGAGACTCAGAATCCTTGGATGAAGATTGGATATCTAATGACAAGAATGACATATCTACCATATTTCTTTGTCCTCATTGACCTTCTATAGGATGTCATTATGTTTGGGCATTTTGCTTTCCCTGAAATATCTGAAAAGTCTGAAATTCCTCTAAATATCTTTTCCCAAATGGATTCTGACCCAAACCCAGAAACAGGAAATGCATATTTAGGAACTTTTCCTTGTTATCAAAGTCATGCTTACAAATAAAGAGAGATTTGCTTGCATCCTGCCTGTATTTCTTATTCTGAATATTTAGATTTCTTTACATTCAACTTTGAATTTTCTGATTTCTGATAGTTTATAACTGTAATATCTGTAAAAAATTGCTCCAATGTTCATTTTCAGGTGTTTTATTTGAAAATGGAGAACATGTTTGAAATCAGAAGGCAGAACAAAATTAGAATAAGAGCAATTTTTTGCTTCTTTCTGAGACTTTTATAAAAATGGTCAATGTTTTGGGTTTTTAGATGAAAAATTTGGACATTTTCCACTCCAGAGGATAATAGTAACTAGTGAAATTGTAGCACTCTGAAAATGGTAGTCTGAAAGATGAAAAATCATGTGTGTGGGGGTGTTATTAAGCTGTTTAAAATTTTCAAATTTTCTAAAATTGTGTTAACTTCTTAAATTAATTTTCTATTATTATAGAATGTGTTGAAGAAAAGGTGATTTTTTTTCTTAAAGATTCATCTCTCTTGCTTTTCCATTCAAGATATTAGATACTCTCAAAATGTCTACGTCCTGATAGTTTAGTGAAGTTCACCAGAAAGGTGAAGGAATAGTCTTGTTGTCTCAAAAACAAATCTCCCCACACAGTATATTAAAGAGCAACCCAAAACATTTAAATCAGTTTAAATCAGTTCACAGTATTTAGATAAAAGTCTTTCTATAGCACTGTATGCAAAACCTGGAGTCCTGAAACCTGAACCAATTAATTCACTCTACAAAGTAGGACATATCTTTGGGTTATCCATGTTTGTGTACAGACAGGAGGCAAATATTATCTTTGGAAATCTCATAGCATTGGAGAGGAAATGAAAATGGTCTAAATGGCAGATGAATGCAAAAATTGTAAAGGTTCCTCCTCACCACCACCAGGTAGAGAGGACATGCCATCTTTTCCAAGGGAACAGGAGGGAGATGATGAGGAACCAACAGAAGATGAACAGGAAGATCCTAGTGGTGTCCGTGAGTATTTCTGCCCATTATATATTGATTTCAATACTGAACCTACAGTAGCTTCTGTCTTCTCCCACCACTAACTGTTTCCTTAATAGTAAGTGTTCATCTCCAGTTTCTGCTCTTGGTGTTGCCCAATTTTATTTTGACTCTG